GTGTAACAATTGTTATAAAAATTGGGATAAAAGGAAACAAATGTATGAGCTGAGGCACCTGTGAGATGGATTTCCCTGGGAATACCTGCTTTCAGCCCTCTGGCCCCAGGGGACCAGCAGAGAGTGGCACCACCATTGGTCACAACTGCAGCATGCTGTGTCAAATCACTAGGGTGAAAGACATGACTTGAATGAATGGAATTTGGAACTTAATAGCAGATATGTCTGAATCTGGGTTTTTCCCTGAAGTTCAGGAAAAGCTGCAAGTCATCTGGTCCTCTGTTTGAGTCACCCAAAGAAGGAGATGAGAGGTCTGTGTGCAGCAGTGCAGAGCAGGACATAGCATGCAAGGAAGGGAGAGGAGAGGGAAAGAATGGTGAAAAGCAATGAAGAAGAAACCAGAAAAAGAGGAGAGATTGGGGGGTTCTTCAGAAAACAGAAGCTGAAAAAGTTTTAGCTTTAAAGACTTTCTTGGCTACTTCTATATAATCTTTCCTGAGTTTCCTTGTAGAAAGGCTTTATAGAAAGGCAGGATCAGTAAGCAGGGAGCAGCTTATGCTCTCAGTGCTGTACTAATTCTGAGCTCAACTCCCCTGAGGAGCCCTGTCCGTAACTTAAGCAGGAGCCGGGTGGGACTTTACTGCGCTCCCCAAGCTCAGGGAGGCATTCTCCTCTTCCCAGTCCCTCCCCTTCCAGAGAGGTATGGTGACTATGGGGTTTCTTGAATGTCCAAGCTCTGGTGTGCAATTTTCAGGTGCTCCTATTATGTGTGTGCTGGAAATTATGTTCCAAACTGTTTAACAGTCAAAGGTCTAATTTTACAGAAAATAGGGTAATTTTGCAGTTCTCCAGCATAAAAACCATGATCTATCACTTTAATAGTCCTTGGCTGTTTCTTAGCATCTCTCATCTAAAGGCTTTAAAGTGCAGTTAGACCTTAATGAATCAAGACTCACGATCTCCCCAGAAGGTAGGTTTGGTGCTCATTTCATTTTGCACACGAGCAAACTAGGACAGAGAGAGGAAGTGATTTGCCCTCCAAGGCCACATATGAAGGCTTAGAACAAATCCAAACTCTGATCTGGCCACCCACCGCTTGATTTTTTGAAGCCATTTTTTAGGTAAATCTTGTGCCGTGGCATCAGTGAGGTCCTAGCAGTTTTTTCAGATCAAATGTAAATATTGTCTAAGTCAAGGAAATCTCTTCTAATAAGCAACAGTTCAAAGCAAGGCCTTGTCGATTAGATTATCCCGTTTTCTGCCCTTTCCTTGTGGGTCACATAATCTACAGTTCACGACACACAGAGACTTGACTCAAATTTTATACTTGCATACAGACTTGTCCATGTGCACCCTTGTGTGCTGATGCTCTTCTGCAGGGCCTTGTAGCACCCCCAGCTGCTGCAGTGAAGGGGAAACTCTTTCTGATCCCCCTGCGCTGGCAGCCGGGCTGGTGGGGTGTCCCCCAGCCGC